TTTCTTTTGAGCAGTGTATATTGCGTAAATACATAAATCGCGAAAGTTGTAGCAATTATATACACGAGAGACGAATGCGATAGCGTAACTTTGCATTAAATAATGACATACAAAATTTACTATAGCTCGCTCGACCTCGTCGTGAAAGCCACTCGTGTCAGCATTAAATTATAATCGCGTCTCGCAAAAATCTTGAAGATATTCGCAGCATATTTGCAATGATAAGTAATGACCGAGTCTTCGGCGTATTTAAATTGCAAAAGAGCACAACGGCGACGATGCTGCTTCGAGGTACGGTGTTCGCGTTAGGCAATGCGCGAGAGATGATAATTTGACGTGAAATATATGCCAGTGTCGTACTATTCACAATACCATATTGGTCAGATAATATCATGTTCTTCGACGGTCGACGTAAAAGATAGGTTCGAGTCGAATTCAATGGCTCTCGGGTACTACGTTCCGCTTGGACCTGCGACCATCCGTACGCGCTTCGGGCTTGTTTGAGATCTTGTACATCATATAATATTTTCTCGCAATATATAACGATATCGAATGTTTCCCTTTCGCAATCGAATAGCAGATCTGTGCGCTCTCGGCGAAGATCGTCGCGGCTCCAAGCACGGCTCTCATCTTCGAGTGCCCTCGCATCATCGTACACCGGCACAATTGCTATCGCAACGATATTTGTTGCGCCAAATTGAATTCGAGGAAAAGAAAGATGGAGCACATTTTCTTGTTCTTTTTTTTTCATTTTGATTACTCTCTCACTATACCATTAATTTGTTTCTCGTTGAGTCATCGGAATATACTTTCACACTCGTAATCGTTAAACCTTCTCACGCCCGACATCGAATCGCTTCTATACACGCATGTAACGTTCTTCTGTACCGTCTGTATCTTCACTTCCGCTTATTCTCGTCTGTATCCGCCGTTGGACTTGTACACGGTGCGTTAAACTGTTTCGTTGTCACTTTCGCAAATGCTCGTTGTTCTCCATACCCAGTTTGATTGATTGATCTATGCTTTCTCGCGAACCCCCCACGAGAACTCCAAGACGTACTAACTTAGGACAAATTGTAGGCAATTTATTATTAAATAAAATGAAAAATAAATCGACATTTGAAACGAAACGGGAAACGTTCCCAAGACATTTGTATTGTATTGATTTACCATTTAAACATACAAACGCACGTACGTATGCACCGAATTTCGATGCGGCGTCACGACCTTTGTAGAATACGAAATGCTGCTGGATTACAGGTACGTACAAACAGATATTGTTAAATGAGTAAATATTAATAATAATTATAATCGTCATTATTAATTACAATTAATAATTATAATTAAGACACCCGTCTCGGATAATAAGGGAGGTCCAGGTTGGAATTCTGACTGAGGTAATATTTTTCGCAATAAATTCTTTACAGCGTGTGCTTCCAAAGAAAGTCGATTTAGAATATTAACAAATTCATTGTCAATTTAATTATATATACTATTTCAATAGCAGCTTAATACTGTTTCAAGACCGAATGTTATCGTCACGCAGTTTGCTGTGTTGAAAATTGAAAAACGTACGCAAAATATAATTAAGCAGTTAAATCCAGCCTAATCGTTAATGATATTTCTATTATTTGTGTGTTAATGGCATTAAACTGTCGAATTTAATGATCATTAAGAAAAGTTCATACTGTAACGTGAGTTCAAATGAATGTTGATACATCAAATACTGTGTTACTTGATGCAACGTTTAAATCAATACCTAAATTGCTCACAATGTCGAGTTATTTTTCCTTGACTGGGGAATTTCTACGTCTTGGTAATAACGGAGAGTGTAATTGCTAGTCAAGGTAATAAGATCATTGTCAGAATAAGAAAATCGGGTCACCAGACGGTCGCGTTTGTGTACTCATGTCAGTTATCAAAAGTTGCGGCATTTATGACAAATTGATGCTATCCGTAAGGGCCTAAACAAAATGGTTATCTTATACTTTTAAGACAATTATTGTGCGCTACTTTATGTTGTATCCCCGATTTCACAAGGAACCAACGAGAATGCTGATATAAGCAGCTTAAGCAATTTTATTGTAAAAACACCTGCGAAAGATCGAGAATTGCGCGACCGAGTCGCAGAAACCCGAGCGCGCAACATACATTATTTTTCGAGAAGTTTGAGGACCGATTTTTAACGCTTTGTATGTAAAATCACGGCGTGGCTGTAATTTCCTATATAGAGAAACTGCATATAATTGGATGCTAAATGTTTCATGGTACATTTGCGCAAGACGTCTACGGCACAGATTACTGTAAATTGCCGTCATTTCCATCATTCCTCTCGACCCATGCGCGACGTTGTTCGTCGTTTGCCAAAAATTGGAGCAGCGCTCTTTTACGAGAGAAGGCCCTTCATCAAGAAGATTTCCTGATGTATTAGATATAGTTTTATGAATAGAATGCCAATTCAAATCTTGATGAAGCCTCATAAATTACTTCTATTGCGGCTAGCCTCAAGAGGAAACCGTATTTCAAAGACGGATCATTCTTCTACTGCTTCCTGTATCTGTTCGCCGTCCGAGTTCGCCTCCCCGACAAGGAAACCACACGCTTTTGTGATAAAGCACTCGAAAAATCTCCTGCAGCAGCAATTCGATTACTTCCAGAGAAAAGTAAAATACGTTCCCGTCTCCCGTAAATCGTCTTACATCGTAAATCTAATGTAGATCTATCGCGCGGTGCCCCGGAGGAGTAATATTTTTCTACGAAAATTCGAGAGAATTATTTTCACCTCGAGTCACATCACGTCGAGTATCGTGCTGCGCACAAGAAGTAATTGCTCGGCCGTCACAAAAGAATTCGAAAGTTATCAATCGGTCTTACGAAATGCTCTTGTACGAATTTTGAGCGTATCAAATAACGATCGGCACTTGCGACCGACAGGGATCATGCGGCACGAGGGTTAGTGAACTGCAAATAAATCATCCCTATTATACCGCTCGGTGAAACAGGTATTCTGCAATGGTAGACGCGATCAATTACGGATTACGGACAGGTGAACCAGGAACGAGCCGTTCCCTCTTCTGCGTCGAGGATGAAATAATACGGTATCATTAGGCGCGCATTTATTTCCAGTGTCCCGGGCACGTCCAATCCTGGATCGTGATCCATGCGAATGGATCCATTATCTCAACAGCGTGACAAGGCTGTGGGCAGTCTGCTAATACGGCAAGGGACGGACGTGACGTAAGCTGAGGTCACCCACGCACGGCTGCTCTGATGCAGTCTCGCCGTGCAGTTTCGGCACACGAACCGCATCAGGAATCGATGCTGCCTGATGCTGTGCCGCGAAGAGTATTTCGCCATTTTCCAGCTTGCCACGATCACATGTTTGCTTTCGTGATCGTAATGAGCACTTTGAAAAACTCGCTTTACATAAGTCTCATCGAAATAGACTACTTCGATCCGATTTATAAGAATATCGCGGATCGACAGATCTGTGAAATTGACATCCCGAAAAGAGAAGTAAAAAAAAGATATGACATTTGATTGTCCACAATGTGTTCGCAATTATCCATAAATAATTATCTGTCCACCATGCAAAAAAAAAAGATTAAAAATAAAAGGAGTTGAATACATTTTACCATAAGAGCACTCCTAAATGCAATCTTTTTTAAATCACACGTAGATTTCGATTTGTCCACTTAGGAGTGCTTATAATGAAATTTATTCAATTTTTTGTTTATTAATTTTTTGCAAGGTGAACAAAAACCGATTGTATGTGAATTCATGTATACAAATTGTGGATAGTCAAATGCTATGTCAATTTTATAAAAATTCGCATTTTGAGATGCGACTTTTCAACCACGCAGACCTCAGATCAATAGTTATTCAAACGCATTTATAGATGAGACAAATACAGGTGTTGTTTCAGAATTTTTACTACACTTCCGTATTTTTAGAAAGAACGAAAAATTGAGTCCACAAGGGAATTCAAGGAAAGGATGTGTATTCTTTTCGTACTTGTTAAGAATACGTCAACAAGGGGAAAACCGTCAATTTACCGAACGTACAAGAGTTTACTATGGTAAACAAGTCGTAACCGGAAACTAGCGTCTTAACTAAAAGAGCCTCATAAATGACAATTACGCGTAGGCGTATAAAATAAAAGGGCTAAAGAAATCTTCTCTGACATCGTGAGAAGGTATTTTCTCTTGCAACCTTCTCGTACTAGAACATTTTCCATCGTAGAGTTCATCATTATTTCTCATACATTATCATCTATTATAAGACAATACCTTAAGCAAATATTCATAGAGACGTTACACACATAACACAAACACACACACAGGTAACTTACGAAGAAATTGTCGCATTATTTTTCAATCTAAAATGTGACTTGTGTAATATCGCATCTGTGACTATCGTCGCTTAAAGAGATCAAGGATTCGTATATGCGACCAAGTGTAGTGAACTTTTAATCTCTATTCGCACCGCGCGCGGGGCTCAATCCTCTCGAATCAACTTTGACCAAGAAAGAACAGTGATGAAAGAGCATGAGTCGGCGACCGAAGATAAATTGAATGCAGTTTAATTCTTCCGTTCCCGTTGTAAGGACGTAATCCTTCGCATGCTTCAACAACGACACCAAGGATTACACGCGTCAAAAAGATACTCCAGAGAGCAAATTTAAACGTCACTTAATCATATCTATCCACATTCATCTTTGACAACCGCGTTGTGTTAAATAATCATTTGTATTCGTGTTTGAACACGACGCAGAAAAGCTCTATTATTAGAGATGAGAATTATTTGCTGTTATCACTACTTTTTTTTTATCAATAAATAAAACATGAACTTTTTATAAAACATTATGTATACAGCGGTACATTTTCTTCTCGGTGTTTCAGGAACTACGGTAAAATTAAAAATTAAAACGTAGATACCGATTCTATGCCGAACAACGCGCACGTCCGAGGAAGTACAGGGGCACGGCTTTCTGTGTGCTCTGCGATTCACCATTCCAAATGTTTTTTTTTTCCTTTATAGGATCAATTTAATCGCGTGTGATATATAGGTCACGTTTTGTGCAACGCCGTTCATTCGTGTCGCCATGGGTGTGTCGAAGTTCGCATGCGACGCAAACCGAAGCGTACGCACCGTAAACGTAGAATATCGCGACGATCTATCTCTCATCCCCCTCCCGTATCGTCATCGTCATCGGTCCAACTACCCTCGCAGTCCCCTCCCGATGCTCGTTACTCCTGGCTCTTCGTATCCGTTCGGATTGGACGGGTACGGCGCGATTACTCTATCTAGTGTTGTCTCCGGAGCACTTTAAACCAGCCTCGTCTCGTGCCAAACTGTGCATCGTTCGACATCGGCGCAGGATACTTACGAGCACGTTCTCCAGTGTCAATGACCTCAATAGTATCCTGCGTAAGACCAGGATACGATAATCTCGAGTCGATGTTTAAACGGAGCGAAAATTTCTGGATGCAGAGATAAAGAAAAATCGAATAGGCACTTCAGGAAAGCGTATGAGAACTCGGAGGGAAGATTCCAATTGTCTTTGTGCCAGTTCGGGAACGAAGGAGAGAATGATCGGAACGTATATTTCTGGCGTGAGACTGACGTATGCCGATTGAACTAAAAGGTGGTGGGCTGATCTCGATGAATGCAGGTGATGATAGATGTATCCATATCGTTGTCGCGGAGTGTGACCCATCGCCAGCGCGTTTCCGCCAGCGCGTCCTCACGTCCGTTGACGCAATATACGTAAAGTGAAAAACGTGAATCAGAATCGGAACGCAAGCAATCGCGATGAATCGCGTCGCAAGGTTCTACAAGCTGCTGGCGGTTTTCCTCTGCTACGAAGGTAAAGTTTCGAAATCGGGGGGCCGCACGTTTATCGCGCGTTTAAATCGTACGCGTTTACTCGAAACGTAAAGACACAATTTTCAGAAGATGAGACAATTTCAGTTCTGTGTGTGAGATCGCTGTACGAGGAGCGGGAACTTAGAATTTTCAGGCGCAACGCAGACGGCACAACTCGCTGATTGCCATTTAGTGCGAGGCAAAGACGGGCTAAATTCGAGACTGCCGCCGAGAGAATAATTAAATGAGGGAATTTTGTTTACTCGAGCAAACGCAGTCGGTCGCCGCTGCTGTTTGTGTACGAGGAAAGGGGGGAATAGATAACAACAACGTATCATTTTGTTAACGCGCTCGATCGTCACGCATAATCCGGCGGAAAATTACGCAATCTCTCCGGAAATTAGTCCCAATGTGTAATATCACTTTACACGCGACGTCTTCTCACAGGCATTTATCTACAATGTTACGCCGCCGGAATGGGTAGATCAATAGAAATCAGTCGGAGATTTTTCAAAATGTCATTTCATACCGCCGGTTTTTCAGCCTGCAGCTACGGCTTCACGCTGGAGGAGGATAAAGAACCGAATTACCTTACTGCCGGAGTGGGAGAGTACGCGGTATTTAATTGCGATCTTGACTTTCCGCACGAATTGCCGATTCCGTATATTCTTCAATGGAACCGCGACGTAAGTATAACAATTAAGAACTCGCAACTTTTCACCAGTATCGTGCAAATTCAGCAGAAACATTATCATAAAATTCTCATTTTCCTCCCTCTCTCTCATATTATTGACGTAGTAGCCTCATTGATTGCCAACTTTATATGTTGTTAGTATAGTCCAATAAACGTAGTCCGATAGACAAATTCGTAAGATAAATGCCATTGAACAAAAATGCAAAACAGTACTACATGTTGCATGATCGAAATAATATTCAACGCGTGCCGTGGATTTTACCTTGGACCAAATGTGCACGTATTTATTATGCAAGTTCATTATTCAGTAATTGTAAAAGCTACAATACAGACACGCGACATCCGATATGATTTACGATGCGACACATTGACCAATTTAATTTGGAAACAAACTAGTTTTATTTCAGAATGTAAGACGTACATATCCGACTCTAAAACGGAAAGGCTGCAATTAAAAAAAAAGATTATACAAAAAGTATAATGAGTCTTTTTAAGAATACTTATGCTTTTTTTAAGAAGACTTATTACATTTTTTTATGTATAACAAGTCTTTCGTTTTAGGAAAAGTTTCTTTAAAAAGGAAGACTTATTTTACGCGGAAATCGAGGCGACGCGATTCACTTCAACGATGTACATATATTATAAGATACCGCACGTAACAATGGTAACACGACGACATGCGATTGAGTGATTGACGATTAAATAGCGTTAAAGCAGGTTGTTAGTCGGCTAATTCGCATATGGACGTGCTTGCGCGCACTCGTCATCTTCCGGCGGAGACGCGGAGAAAAAGCGTCCAAGGTAGGGTGGGTTATTCGATTTCTTCGGAAATACATCCGATATTCCGTCGGCATGGCAATCGATCTGGATATGGATTTCCATGTCTTCTCGATTTCAAGTGGACATCTAATACACGAGAGAAGCTAACCTCGAGTATCGCGATAAAAGGACCGTAAAGATATCTTCGCGTATTGGCGAGCTAAAAAAGTACAGTTAAAGGAGAATAGCGACAGACGCTTAACAACTTAAGCGACATCGACGGAACTCTTGCGGGGAAAAGGTATCGGCTCTGATAATGGTAAAATGGCGAAGCGAATGAATTTGCTCGAGTACGAGACCGCGCTCGCGGATGTCGCCATTCGACGCGGCCGTACGACGGAAACGGATTGCACGTGGCTATCGCAGAATCAAGTGGAACTCAACTCTGATTGGTCCCTGATGCGTATGCAAAACAGGTGCTCGTTCCCTCTTCGTCTGCCCACCGTGGTAATTGGAGTACGGGACGCAAGGCTGCATTATATTTAGTCACGTTCAGTCTGCGACATGAGGGGACCAACCAGTGGGTCACTGTTAATGCATTGTCAGATGATTACAAGTGATTAACGCCATTCCCGTCCCCCCCCCTCCTCCGCCGTAGACAAGAGACGTATCCTCTTTTCGAGGATTTTGGGCCCGTCGTTGATGAATGTGGGTGTTACTGACCGGCGGGCTAATTAAGACGCCGCGGGCGACACAACGGGGGTCATTACGCTGTGCTCATTATTAGCGTGCGACCTTGCGTGAATAAAATCCAAATTTAACATTAGCCTTTAATTACTCGCACTCTATTTCCTACCGTAATTGCTCGCGTGGGCTCTTTTAGGTCCCCCGGGGTGGAATGCACCAAATAAATACCGTAATTACGAAGCAATTAAATTGCACACGTAAACTGCATTACGTAAGAGGAAACATCTTTACAAGAAGTTAACATAAATTAAATGACATCAATCAAGTTCACGCGCGGGGATCTTATCGATATCGGTAATTATACAAAACTTGAAAAGTGAGTAAGATCTCGAAGACCTCGCGCGAGCAATTAAGGGTTAAACCTCGTTAAATCGCGTGAGTCTTGTATTCCGCGAAAGGATGACTCAATTAACATAGCTGCAGACCCTATCAAGTTACGCGGTGTAATTTCCTTAAGACGTAGGTTCGCCTACGTTCGTCCGTATGTAAAAATCGGTCGTTCAGACGGTCGAATATCTCAAGGAGGAGCCAAAAGTAAAGTGATTCTGTATTCTAACAGAATCATTTATACATGCTTGCAGATTCTACGAAGTATGGATGCCGAGATACAGATGATTTTAATTGTAATTCATCGAGCCTCGCTTTTTCAGAGTCGTATAGTATTCTCTTGGTATGATGGACACGTCACGGTGGACCACAGTTACAAGGGTCGCATACACTTGCTGGACGATGCCGGTCAGCGCGGATATGGCCAGGGTAGCATAAACCTCACGAATATTCGCGAAAGCGATCAAGGCTGGTACGAGTGCAAGGTGATCTTTCCTAACAGAACGCCGAATTCGAGAAACAATGGCACGTGGTTCCACCTCGCCATTGATGGTAAGCTGGTCGCTCACAGTTCTTTTCGTTTGCATGTAATTAAAGAGTGCAGAAGACACGGATGAAACGGCAGAAATTTACTGACGCATTTATCGACTAAGTTTCCTTGGAGTGCTAAATGCAATTATTAGCATGTAATATGATTTGAATAATGTATTAATATTATCGAAGTATTGTGATATATATTAAGAATGCAATACGGGAACGTATTAACAGACTTTAATAAGACTAACCAAGATTGAATATTAAACTAGGTCAACTCGACGGGCGAGCTAACCGGACTTAAAGCTGTGAAATTCGCGTTCTAATTTTTTGGCAAGTAGGATATGAGTCTTCAAATTTAATCGCTCGTTTTAAGCATTTCCGACGTTCTGACTCTAAAGATAGAGAGCCTAATTTTGAACAAAGGATCTTGTTTCCCCCTTTTATTTGATTCCATGATGTTCATTACACGCAGTGATATACAGATAAAGTAATTCATTGTATTACTATATTAATCAAATTTCAAAAAATATTGTAAAACGTTTTAACAGCTAGACTAGTTATGAGAATTTTTACCGACTAAAAGTTTTTCATATATTATCTAAACTTAAAACTGTCGATTGTGTCGTTTAAGGGAAATCTCTATTTCATTCATTAGCTCCAACGGAATTCCTTTTTTTTTACGTTAAACTCTATTACTTGGGACGCGAAAGAAAACTGAGTCACTCGAATAACAGCTTATTTACCTTGATTTATGGCGGAAAGCAGTTATTCTTGCATTCAAGTAATTGCAAGGTTGTACCATAAACCAAACAATTTTTACAAATATCGCTACAAGACAAATTTAGATTACACTATTTCTGGAATTGTTTTGCATTTATATGGAGCTTATGGTAACAGTACATCATTAACCATACTAATGGTTTGTCTTAACGCGTACGCCAAAATGCAGAATCAAGAAATGCAAATGACTGGTTGTTTCGCGCTGTCAATATCGCTAGTACAAAGCAGTGAATAGTAATTGATAACGAAAGAAATACACTGTAACCCCGCTGCTGCTTACTAACCTGAATCCGGGCAGACTCGTTAAATCGTTCAACCTAGGTGTGTCGCCGTTTCCGACGACTGTTGCAGGTGATACCCTACTCGCGATACCACCTGTCAATAAAACTGCCATGGAAGGCGAAACGGTCGCGTTTGATTGTGTCGCGAAAGGAGAAGGTACAGTCGTAAGCTGGTTCCGTGAAGGAGTGTCAATCCCAGAAATACAGGTGCAGTTTCTGATTTTATAAGTATTCTCGAAATTTCACTGTGCACAAGCTATTCAAATACGAATATCGATAATCGATAATCGATTCGATTCAAATTTGAATTTCTGTGATTCGAAACTGAATTATTAAAAATTTATGAACTACTGAATCTAGATGGTTCGAATACGATTCACATATATTGTCGATTTAATTCAATTCGACATAAAAACTTCTTGATTTACAACATCTGTACTCGACACTTAAAATTCTTGAGTTTATTATCGCAACAGGATCTCAGAAGGAGAGCCACTATTGGTAGTGATGGTACGCTGGTTATAAAGTTAGCCGCCATGGGTGACCTTGGGGAATATACTTGTGTGGTGACTGGAGAGACTGGAGATCAACAAAGTGCATCGGCCTTTCTCAATGTTCAATGTAAGCACAGCGACGCGTGCATTAAACTTATACGTATACAATTTTTAATTTTATCCATGACAATTGGTAATTGATTTTCCCGTTTAGATAAGGCGAAAGTGATCTATGCACAACGAGAAGTCTACCTTCCCTATGGAAAACCAGCCCTCTTGGACTGCCACTTCAGAGCGAATCCGCCTCTCACGAATCTCCGTTGGGAAAAAGATGGATTTCTCTTTGATCCTTACAATGTGCAAGGGGTTTTCTACAGGAGAAACGGATCTCTCTATTTTAGTAAAGTGGACGAGACGCACTCGGGAAGTTACAGTTGCACTCCCTACAATGAACTAGGCACCGAAGGACCGAGCCCTTCTATTACTGTGGTAAATATATTATTATTCTTCAATATCAAAAGCAACAGAAATTGCGTGAAGATAAAAAAGAGATTGATCCCCCTCTCTCTCATGTTAACATTGAAAATATTGAACAGCCCACACCACAAGTGTCAATTGCTCTTTTACCTTGCAATTGTATACCATATGATCTACGGAATAAAATGAAAATACACTTCCTCTTAACAGAACACAACATTAGTTAATTTCTCTATGTGACTTACAAATGAAGAATAAAAGAGCGACAAACACTCGTAATAGACTGGTCAATGTTTTTAAATCTAATACAGATTGTTCGAGATACTGTTTATATTGTTAATTATTACAGATAGTTCAAAGGCCACCAATGTTTACTGTAACACCGCAACATATGTATATGCGAAAGTTAGGCGAGAGCTTGGAAATTCCTTGCGACGCCAGAGACGGCGACGATTCGCATCGACCAACTATCGTGTGGTACAAGGTACGTCCTATCAATCGCGTTAGTTATGTGTTATATGATAAATTGAATTAATAATAAAATTAATGAAAGGATGGATCGCCCCTATTGTCCGAGAGAACCAGCGTGCTCGGTGGCAATCTGACGATAGAAAGGATTCAGGAGCACGATCGAGGATTGTACCAGTGCGCAGCCAGCAACGAGGCAGCGACCGTCGTCGCGGATACTGAACTCATGGTGCTGAATGTTCCACCTAGAGCGCCATACAATCTAAGCGCCAATAGTAGCAAGAACGCCGTCACTTTGACTTGGATACCTGGATACGTGAGACCCAAGATGGAGTACTCAGTATGGTGGCGTATCTCGTATATATGTATTGTACAACTAAATGCTTATAACATTTATTCACCGAATCGTGTAATTCTGTCTCGCCACGTTTTCTGTAAGAATAAATTTTCATGCTAAATTAACGTGAAACGTACACTTTTGACGTAGGTACAGACCAACGGACACGTCGGAATGGAGAACCATGAAAATTTTGTCGAGAAAAATTACGGAAGCAACGGTCAACAACCTCAGCTCAGGGCGGGAATACGAATTCATGATACTGAGCCAGGACAAGCACGGCGATGGGATGTTCAGCAAGGCGCTTCGAGTATTCACTCAGCCGAGTAAGATTAATCGCCACGTCGGACACGTTTAAGGGCGATATGTGAAATGACCTAATAAATCATTTATATTTCTAGATGCTATTGATGCGAACTCGGCGTCGGAATATCGTAGTCCGCAAGGTGGGTAAAAACAATTTAACGACGGGCCTCATATATGGCAAAGCAAATGCAATTTCTCACGTACATACGTCGCGTATCTCTTGATAATTCAATTGAATGTTTCAAGGCTGTGACATGATTCTGTTTCAGAGATCGAGAGCATGGGACCGCCGCGCAACGTGAGAGTTCAAGCAACGGTCGAGGGTTACTTGGTCACTTGGGAACCACCTGATCTGGGTAGGAACCAAGTTAGACTTTACACTGTGAGGTGGTATAGAGGGCCATCCGAACATTTATATGGCAGAGCAGAAACAACAGACACTTATTATCTAGGTGAGTAATCATTGCGTAATAATAATTATTGAACATTTTAACTGATAAAGGTAATAATTGGCACCTACGACCGATACGTTTCAGTGAAAACTTTGGAGGAGGAAAGCTTCTATACTTTCGAAGTGGCAGCAATGTCCATTACGGACGATATCGCAACCAGCGAACGAGTCGGTTTGGAAGTACCCGCTTACCGTCGTAACAGAGCGATATCCATGGGAATTGTCGCCGGTATAGGTTTTCTAGCGGCCGCTCTGGCCGCCGTGTGGTGGGCGAGGAAACGATTCTGCCAGCCGTCTAGCGGAGAGAAGTAGCCGAGCAAACACGTGGGAAGCACGTGTGCCTACTCACAAACAAAATAGTTGTTCGTGCGAGTCCATAATCGATTATAAATATTCATGTCGCTCGCTACGTGCAATCACCAGTGTATGATGTCAGTTTAGAGGAAAGAATAGCGACATGCGTCATGCGTAAAGGCACAATCTTATAAAAACGCGGAACTGCCTTCGCAGACAAGATCTTCTCAGCACACGCCGAGATACAAAAATACATAAGGCAAGAGACCAAATAATATCTAGTATTATCACGCAGTGATGGCGAGGAGCGCAGAGGCTCTTGCAGCGTCCGCTCTAAGCGTATCTATTTGCCGAGCCCCGCGTTACTACCGAGTGTTCTTGCATTGCTAATTATATCCGTACTTTGTGTGCCGTTCAACAGCTTTATTAAGTAATTGCACGTTATAAATGACTAGATTTCATGCGCCAGGCTGCAGGTCGTCGACCGTCGAATACGAGTTCGTGAATTAAGAGGAATCGCACATATGCTTATTACGTATATACTTTTTCTATTGTATATAAATTATGCCCGCGTGCATACATACGTCTTCTTTTTTCACATATACTTCACTATTACTTTTACTGATTTTATTCGACGCGTCATTGTCGTATATGTGCTTGTATCATCACAATAGTCGCATACAATAAAAAGAGTGGGAAGCAGTACATCCTTATTATGTCAGTCACCTAATAACATCGTTTATGTTCCGCAAATATATTACGTATCTGCTCAGATACTGTATAAAGCAAGATACATATTATGCTCTGAGAAAATAATTTCCATATTTATCCCAGTCACTAATAAATATGTATATCTAGACCGTTCTCCAGGTCGTTGGCAGAATTCATATCTACATTGTAAAGCGGGATCGAAGTGAATAACACTTTATCAAAAACGATTTAGAAAAGTATATATTATCACTCGCTTGAAGTTCCCTGACACGCATAACCGCCTATATCTACTATTTTGCTCTGTTGAGTTTATGGGCGCTTTCCAGCAAGAGACACAGATTGACACAGTGTAGCACAGAGAATCATTTCACCTTTGTTTAATAAACAACAAACAACAAAGCTAAAATGATTTATTGTGTTATACAGTGTATATCGTATACTATATCGCAGATTCATGGGAATGCTAAAAATATTGGGGAATTGCCGAGATATTTTTGAACGTACATCGCAACTTCGTGTCAATCCCCGCGAATAACTTAAGCCAACAGCACACGATACTATTTTTCCTACTGGATTGCTTGCGAGAGCTAATAAGGATTCAGAGTTTTAAATCAGATAAGGTTCAATCCTTATTGGTTCTCGTAAGCAATCCAGTAGGAAAAAGCATCGTGTGCCGTTGGCTTTAATCTTGGAATTTCAAAAGTGTAAAGGAAACGCTAAACTACAAGGACGATGAAAGTAATTGTGCGAGTGTTGTAGCATGACATGTTTTATCTAATATCCAAGCAAGTAGGTATATACATCGATGCGCTAAACCGGGCGATTTTTCAATTAGTAAGTTTGACTGTTACAATATTGCAACTGTTTATGAGTTTTCCCTTTTATTATTTGATTTGAGGACAGTGTCGACTTCGTGCATCGTTAACGTTTTCTATAACTTTATTTTGTGAACAACGTTCGTCAATCATTCGTTTAGTTATTTTATACCCAAGTTTGCCAAGTTCTTAACCACACTGCGCCTCAAAATGTTTCCCAGAATGTCGTGTGATACTAAGATTTCTACACTCTTAATCTTGTATCGCGTAGTACTGCGAAATTAGAGGTACACGTTAAAATAAAAAGTACACGTAATTATGAGGTACACAAAAATCCACCAAAATGCACCGTGAATTTATAGACGGTACCTCGAAACAATACACCCTTAAGCCTGTACCGCCAAAAATTGGAGTACAGGCTTAAGAGTGTATTGTTTCTCAATCACTTGGCGAATTAAAATTATTTTTAATTAGAACGCGGAGCATGAACTACCAATTAGTCGTACAGTTTTTTAACGTTTCGTGCATTACTTTCTTCCAACGTGGCTTTAGAATGGGAATTCTCAAAGCTCAAGGGTTCGATAAGCCGTTGTTCACCGAACAATAGAATAGATAGAAAAGCGCTACAGATGACTCAAATTTGACGTTTGTCTGGTTTATCAGCACATGGATATACTAGCACTTACTTGAATATTTGATTAAATATCACGCGCTACAACACCCGCGTAACCACTCTAATTGCCTTTATATTTTTACGTTTTCTTTTAATTTCGGAAACTATACAAGATATTTCTACATGTTTGCCCACGCTTTTCTCCACTGTCATTTTTTCTGTCTACTGACCGTGATGACGTAGCTGACATTGTTTACATCACGTGTAAACGGCTCACTACACCATCACACTGATACCAAAGGCGCGCGAATTGTTTAGACACAAAATCTGGTAAATTGGCTTGCGGTCGATGCGCGTCTACATCGTCGCACGAGGCGTACATGATGGAATACCAGGTGCTCTTGCCAGCAAGTGTACGAGCGAACGTTGACGGGCTTCGTAAGCAGCCGGCTGATATTCGGTGAGCCACGACGACGATGCTTCTACATAAATGGATAGCGCTTTGCGTCGTGCCTGCCGGAAGATAATGGCTTCTTTCAGCAGCGCGACGAATCGTTAAAAATGATAAAAATCCAAAGCCGAGATGGATGCTACATTTACATTCGCGACATGTGTACAATTATCGAGGATGTAAAATTGTGGACCGCAAGGCCGAAGCAATACTAGTGCTCGAGAGATAGTACTTGAGAATTATCACATTAATTATAAGAGTGGTTGACCGTGATTGCGCACCCTTTCATTTTAAGATTGTTAGTCAAATGGTCGTTCGCGACTCTGGGAAACGGCCTTGGTAATATCGCCTTCTATACAATCATATTTTCCTTCTTCTGCTGTTCTTGGAATATGAATTTTTCTAATAATAAAATCCACAATAGGATCAACAAGAATATATTATCAGTATATATTATCATTTAAATCATGCTTAGCGTTTCTTACTTTTTACGTCTAGTAGACTAGAGAAAAAAAATGGAATGAACAACACAACGGGCCAATAAAAAAATGGAAAAAAGTCTGATTACACAATCATGTAATACCTAATTATATGTATATCATGACATCTGATTCTGAAAGTCACCAGTTCTTCAGAGATTTTTTTCCTTGAATGCTCGAGGTTATCTATTGTGGTACAACCGAGGGGGTAACCGCCGAGGGCATTGTGGTGTACAGATTTGCGGCATTCCTGGGCATTACTAGGCATTATAAAAATAAAATAAAATAAAATAAAACAAGATAAATAAGATAAAATAAGATAATAAAATAAAGTAACGCTCATTGGGCATTAGTGGGCATTGGTATACAAGATTTTGGTCAGCGGTTTTCCCCTCGGATACAACTAAATCTAATTAAATGTGTTAATAGAACAGTTAATTAGATCTCAATAGATAATAATATCAAATAACAGTGTCAGATCTCTCAAGATCTAATAATTTTAGAATTTTAAATCTAATTCGACATAATTACATGATTGAGACATATATAATGAGATATTTCCATTTTTCCCCGGGTCTTTATCAGTCTGCAATACGTTGCAGATGATATGTTATAAAATAATATCAGTGTTTGTGTTATGCTTTAAATTAAGATTAATTGTGATCTCGAGTTTCCATAAGCATCAATTTTAGCGTGGCAAATTTTACAAGTTATTTAAATTAAAACTCCTCAAGTGTACAATGCAACAGTCACAGATCCGATCATTTATTTTCAGACTAATGCTCCCTTGACCCTCTCAGAACTAAATTTTCCGGGGGCAATTGATTAAATTAAAGCCGATGAAAATTACGACGCCCGGAGGTAATATCCTATTGAATCTAAATGAAGCTAATAGGCATTGCATTCAAGTTGTCAGCGTAACGATCGATATATAGCGTGACATAACACATCTATGTGCTAAACTATGCTGAAAAGATACTGTGCCATCTTTTCCTTCGAAGCGCAATTTGGACTTTATGGCAAAATTTGTATCTACTTAATATATCTTTGATTATCGCTCAGTTTATCACCAATAAAAATCTGGATGTTTAAAGCTTTTAACGATTGAGGACTAAAAAACCAATGATTGCTTGACTGATTAGTACGAAAACTTCATCATGCTAGGTAAAGTAAAAAATCATACTATATATGTATAATGTATAATGATCGAAATATTATATATAGAAACACATGAAATCAATCAAGTTAAAAATAATTTGTGTAAAAACTTATTGTCTTATAAATACTACAGTTATATAAATATTCTGTTTTTATACTTTACTGAAAAAATATAAAACAACACAATTTACATTCATTAAAATATAACATACAGATTATGAAGAACATGCGTGTAAAAAGTTGTGCAAGTGTTGCAAGCTTGTTTTTATCTTCCGATGTATTTAAAATTCTGTTTCGTAATTCATTATACATATATGTGCAATCTTAATATGTATATCCTCAATTATGAGGTAGTTTTACAACGTTTCGGCCAGTAATACTGG